GAAGTGTTCCCCCTATGCTTGTTCTTCAACTTTTCAACTTTTCGTCTTCAACTTTTCGTATTACGGAAGTGTCCCTCCTATACTTTTTCTTCAACTTTTCAACTTTTCGTCTTCAACTTTTTGTATTACGGAAGTGTCCCTCCTATACTTGTTCTTCAACTTTTCAACTTTTCGTCTTCAACTTTCCGTACTTTTCGTATTACGGAAGTGTCCCTCCTATACTTGTTCTTCAACTTTTCAACTTTTCGTCTTCAACTTTTCGTATTACGGAAGTGTCCCTCCTGTACTTGTTCTTCAACTTTTCAACTTTCCGTCTTCAACTTTTCGTATTACGGAAGTGTCCCTCCTATACTTGTTCTTCAACTTTTCAACTTTTCGTTTTCAACTTTTCGTATTACGGAAGTGTCCCTCCTATACTTGTTCTTCAACTTTTCAACTTTCCGTCTTCAACTTTTCGTATTACGGAAGTGTCCCTCCTATACTTGTTCTTCAACTTTTCAACTTTTCGTCTTCAACTTTTCGTATTACGGAAGTGTCCCTCCTATACTTGTTCTTCAACTTTTCAACTTTTCGTCTTCAACTTGTCATATTGCGGAAGTGTTCCCCCCTATGCTTGTTCTTCAACTTTTCAACTTTTCGTCTTCAACTTTTCGTATTACGGAAGTGTCCCTCCTATACTTTTTCTTCAACTTTCAATTTTTCGTCTTCAACTTTTCGTATTGCGGAAGTGTCCCTCTATACTTGTTCTTTAACTTTTCAACTTTTCGTCTTCAACTTTCCGTACTTTTCGTATTACGGAAGTGTCCCTCCTGTACTTGTTCTTCAACTTGTCAACTATTTGTCTTCAACTGTTCGTATTACGGAAGTGTCCGTCCTATACTTTTTTTCCAACTTTTCAACTTTTCGTCTTCAACTTTTCGTATTACGGAAGTGTCCGAACTAAGCTTCCTTTCCATGGAGAATCCTGCACACATTGGCATGGTGTCCCCCAAAACAGTATTCACACAATACCACCATGCACACACAACTTGTTTTTTTTCTTCGGGGTTGCGTTTGCAACGTCGTGCGCAGGGCGGCGCTGAGTCAAAGAGATCATCGAGACTTGGCATCGCACGCCTGCTCTCCTCATGTTTGCCACACAATAGCATTCAGAGTCCTCCAAATCGGCGGTTTCCCGTTAAGTCCCTTTTAGCCAACCCCGAAAAGGGTGCTCTAAAAATGTGTAGCCGACCGAAATCACCCCCAGTTTGGAGGTAGTCAGGGGAGTCATTGTTTGTACACATGCATCATACCATGGATGGGCATCCAGTGTGGATGGAAAACGCGGCGCTTATTCAAAACGCGGTCAAACCGCATTTGTTTCTTGAGTTCCCTTTTTGGGTTTCAAGCGAAACCGCAGGCGACCCAATGAAACAAGCCCGTGTCTCTTTCACCAGCGCGCACCTCGGCCGAGGACCCAGAGCGACGTGCAGGAGAAGAAGGAGGATGAAAAAGAAACCAAAAAAGAAGGCGGGCGACACACGACGAGTTGCTGTCATGTACCTTTTGCCAAGGGATGTTTAGGACTTTGACTTTTTGCAGCTAATGGGTTTTCCAGTAAACCACTAAAAGTTAAACTTTTGGCAGGGGAGCAGAACGGCTGCGGGTCAAGAATAGGCACCCAAGTCGAGGCCCAGTAAATGGAACCAAGGACGATTTGACCTGCGGTCCGATTCCTGGCTTAATTTTGATCCATGCCACGAAAAGTTGCTGTCATTTGGGAAGACAGCGTGAAACAGCATGGGTTTGTTTGAGGTTCCAAAGAATACGAGGCTTCACCGTGGCTCCGAGACGCAAGCCGCGTCACCAGTGGGGCAAAATGAGAAACACGGGTATTGCATTTTTGACACTCCAGATGTTGCCCAACCAGCCGGGTAGAGAAACGAACATGATATTCAAAGGCCCCGCTTCAACCTAGTGGCACGGCAGAGCTGGAGCCAATGCTCCAGGCTGCCCCAAGCTTTTTGAGGTGGCCAAGGAGAAAAACCGGCCATGGGGTCTGACACATACAAAAAGGGACATGGATTTAGCCTTCCGGGCGGGCAAGTATGTGGGCGTCAAGGCCACTATCTGAGGCCGAGATAGTGGCAGGTCAAACAGCTTTTTGGGGCTTGCTAGGGACGGTCATGTATTCTCAGCGTACGGGAATCGTGGCCATGAGCTATACGGAATTTTGGCCATGGCACATGGTGAGAGAGGTCGAATATGAATGTGTCTATTCTTGCCGACTGCATAAAGTAGATAAAGCAGGTAGCTTCCTTATTTTTGCCTCAGGTAGATAATGGTGTGCCCTGGTTACTAGAACGGCGACTGGAATTGCATTTGTGAACAACTTGATGGAAACGGAGCTGCAGCTCCCAAGTTTGTTGCGCTCAACTCCGCAGACTCCTTCTGAAGCGAGCGGCGGCCGGGAGCACAGATATCGTGAGCAGAGAGATGTGAGCAACGGATGTTACCAACAGTGTCGGTTCTAGGTACCCTCTCGATTTTTCTTCATATGGCTGTGGGTCAAAACCAATGGGATCCCATTCTGGGGTAGGTGAATTCACCACCCATTTTAGAACCTATGTTAGTGGTTGGATTGGGACGTTGACTGGGGGCACGGTTTGGATTTTGACCCATGGCCATATCTTGTGAGCTGTGCCTCTTGGACTCCATAAGTGGAGCGTGCGAGCTGCTGAGGCCCGGCCTTCGTTTCTCAGATCTTGGACGGGCAGGGGGGGTTGATCCATATTCCGTTCGGCTCCCAAATGACCATGGGTAGTGGGACATATCATCTTCTTGTTCCCCAATGGTCATCCCATGTAAAGGACCTTTGGATCAACCCCCACATGTTGCAAACATGGACCTGTTCTCATTGGATCCAATTAGGCTTGTGCTTGAGCTTGTTCCACAGATTCGGAGCCCAGCCAAGCATTGAACATTGAAGGGCGAGACGGTTGCCTCGGTTGCGCTTAGTCATGTTCAACGGTTGTCTGGTTGCAAGTCGTGTCGACCCCCTATTAATCAGCCCCAGTATATGAATAGGGGGTGTCCCCTCCAAAAGTGATCTGATTCCCCACTAAACCCAGGGACTCCCCCCGATTGAAACTGGGGTTGATAAGTATGGGGTCAATATTACTACCCATAGGTGTTCTTTTTGGTGGTTGAGGTAGAAAATAGATGGCGATTCCTGGCTTACCCGGGTATTTTAATCATCTACCAGGGAAACCCATGGTAATTCCCCTACTCTTCCCTGATTGACCTGAAGTGAGCCTGGCCTTGTGGCTCAAGGAGCTCAAGAGTTCGATATTGGGCGCACGGCATGGGGGTGTCTCACACCAGGGACCCCTCCAAATACTGGTTCCCTTGTGGACTGTCTTCGAAACAGGCCAACAAAACAATTCCCTCGTGTTCCCTCAAATCAAAGTGGCAATTCCTTTGAAATGTGTGGAGAGCCCAAAAGTCGACCCCCGCAAACCGAGGAGCGCTCGATGTGTCGCCGTCGACCTCTCAGGTCACCCAGCGAGCTGAGTTCTCACAGCCGGTAGCGCAGTGCACACCACCCACCTGGGCAAGGAATTGGCGACCTCGCAAGGGAACTGCCTGTTTTGGGGAACTGCCTGTTCAGACATGTTTTTTGTTTTTCTCCGATGGGCTTTTGTTTAGTTTTTTTTCTTAGTTGTTTTATCGTTTCACAAGTTCCAGTAACTGCTGGCATTTCGAGGTCCTAAAACTGGCGACCTCACCCGTGAAGGTTCCTTTCTTATGATGTTCTTGGGGGTCCCTTGTCAGCGATTTCTTCTGATTGACCCAGTTTAGAACTTTCCATATAGTCGGGAATTACAACCAGAGACTGAAGTTCTAGTGGAATTTCCCGCTTTTCCTCGAGACGTCGCTGCCTTCAGGCGTTGGTGCGAGCCTTTTGCAAATAGTTTCACCCGAGTCGGTAGAGTAGCGATCCAGGCAGTTTCACGAAGCCTGCAGCGCGCTTGAGATGCTTGCAGTGCTTGCGGTGCGCGAAGGTTAAAAGCGTCAAGCATATAATTATGGCCGACACAATGCTTATCATGGACTCGGTTACCTAGTGTCTAGAGTGACGAAAGCTATCAATTGGTTTGTCCGGCTCAACCGCCCGACATGTTCTCTAAAGCGATGAGTGCTATCAAATCTGTTTGGGCTGAAACAAACGGCTTGTTCCCTAGAGCCGTACCGGCATAAATGCCATCGTTGTTGTTTGCCGGGATCAATGACACCGCTTGCAGGTGCGACCGTGCTTGCGATTCGCTTCTTCTGGTCGCGAAGGCACTTCCATATTTTGGGTTTCCATGAGACTGGTTCCATTTAACAAGCGTTCCATTCGCGTGGTAACGTGAGGCCTTTTTTTTCACCCTTGTTAAGCATTTTGGTAGAACCAACAGTCATCGGGTTTGGGGCACAGCTCCTTTTGGAGCTTTCTCCTAATAGCGGTCCATGTCCTAGCATGGTTTCCTGCTCTTTCTTTTCAATCACCGACGGGCCAAATGCTGCACTTGTTGGGATGGATGAAGCATGGGATCAGCAAGCCCGAAGACCAGACCCCAGCGGAACCACCCAAAAGGGGGCCCTCCTTGTCGCCGACCGACAGGTACGCTCGTTGGGCTCCGGATCTTGCGGTGAGGCGAGGCTCCGAAACGCGCCGTGTTTGTCACTCGATGTTTTCGGACAAAAGCTCAGTGCGGTATGTGTGATAATGGACGCCCCAAAATGGGCTTCGGTGCTAAACCTTTATCACCATTTTTTTTCACGAGTCAATGGGTTTTGCTGAAATGGGAATAGATGTGTATCTGAAAAGGCAGAAATGGAAATGCTCCGAAAGCAAGGGCATCACGAACCCTTTGCTTTTGCATCCCCTGATTTTGGGTACAGTCAGCTGACCCCCGCACCAATAGGAGGGCCTTTCCCCATGCTATAAGACTCGCATGGTCGCCATTGGACATTGCAGACAAACAGTTGGGCGGCAACCACTTTGCAATTTTACGTGCCGCCATAGCAGAGGCAATTTATACTGCAAGGGATCGCCCTGACCCACACTTGACATGTGCCATAGCTTCGGGAATCTTTGGGACAAAACTTGGACCCTGCCTTTTCTACTTTGCCAATCCTGTGAGATTCCAGATGTGGAACACAGTGCAGTGGTGTGCAGAGGGAAGAAGACTCTATGGCCCACAACTGGGGTCCCAGTATACAGGTTGAACATGGCGAAGCGGACCTTATCGCAAACAAGCCTCACAGACCTGGACAGGATGCATCAAAGATCTTGGCAGTCAGTGGTCCGTGAAGCCATACTTAAGAAACACCCACTACGCAGGGTTCCAAGAGCCTGACATTCAAAAAAAACGCACACAGTCAAGTCGCAGCATTTCAATCCGACATTGTGAAGCATAAATGCAAGCCACACGTGTTACAAACGGGCAAGCGTTGCAATGAGGCAACAGATGCGATGAAGCATGACTTGTGGCAGTGTGCAAACAATGCAAACGCAGGAATCGATACTTCCACTCCTGGAGGTGCTGGAAGCAAGCGTGCCTGGGTTCACCCGCAAGTGACCTGGAAACCCAAATTAAACAAATCCGGTACACCATTCGGCCGCCAGTTCCTGAAAGGAGGTTTTCCGAAATGCGGAACTTCTATACAGTTGGAAGCACCTCAATAAACAGTCACACTGAGTTGAGAGACGCAGCCAGGAGAAAACTTGCAAACTGCGCAGGCGAAACAATGCATTACACAATACATGCAAGACAAACTAACTCTGGTAATATTCCAACACATCCAACGTGGGTTAGTGCCAGGAATCCAAAGCATCAACAGCTTGGAATATTGTGTGCAATGGCCTATGCTTGGGCTGCTTCGACGAATTCCAGCGAGAGCAAATACTCGAAAGTCACATGATGCACATCCCGAAAAGTCCAGACCCTAGAGCTTTTTGGGCAGCCCCAAACTATGACCTTGAATGCTTTGCCTGTGATGTCGTGAAACGCAGGGAGCATGCGTAGCTCAAGCGGATACGCTGGGAAAGCCGAAGATGTTGGGAGATGAAGAAGAGAAGACAGGAATAGACCCAACGCCCTTCTTAAACAGCTTATAAAGGCAGGTTGACACAAATGAGGCGGCCTCATCTTTGAAAATCCTGAACAAAGTTGCATGGTTACGTCAGGATGAAGCAAACTCTTCCAAAGGTTAGCCAAGGCAAGGGTCAGAGCAAGAAAAGTTCCTGGCTTTGCAAGGCTGGGTAGGGGTGATTGGAAACCTTTGGATCTCCTGGCTTACACTGAAGCACATGGCTATGTATCTTTTTGGGGTGTAACGCGCTTCATGAGGCTACATGCGTGGCTGCCTTTGCTAAAGCGGCCGGAGACGGGGCAATAAAAGTGACCCGGGACTAGCTTGGCTTGATTTGCTTCTTAATTTCAGAATCAAGCGTTCCGGTTAGCTTAGGAACTACGCAAGGCCAGTTTCAGCTCTTCCTGAGCAAAGCGACGGGGCAAAATTGACCCCAAAGTCTTGGAGCGCACTCCGCTCGACTCTCGCCGGCCTTCACGGCCGAGATTGCCACAGCCGAAGCGCGGCGGAACACCTCGCGGGGCGCAAATAGACATGGACGGCGCGTCTCACACGTGGTGCGTCATTCTTAAGGTGCGGCGCCCGTACTTTTTTCTTTGTTGGTAGGGAAAGAATGCGGTTGTGTCTCAAATTGGTTGGTTTGATTTTGGCTTCCCTTCAAACGCCCTTCTCCAGCTTGAGACAGATCCAAGTGTGAAAAACATGCCGCTGCTTGAACCCGGGCTTTGCAGTGTAAGGAGCTCTGTGCACACGGTTGGGAAACCACAAGGAAGCCGCATTTTTTGTGGAGACAAGCCCAAACACGAACATCTGCTTACTTTTGCAAAGCGGTTTCTGGCCCCAAAAGGAGGACCAAACCAAGATCAGAAATTTGGTGGCACGCCTCCCAATTTCTACCTCTGTGCCGGTTGGTTTCAAGAGAGACCACAAGGAGCGCAGAAGTCGTTTTGGTGGTCTCCTGCCCATCCGACAGGTGGGGGTTGATCAATTTTCTTCGCCCCCAAATGGCCATGGGAAACTTTCCCCATCTCATAGGAAATGCACTCCTTTTGGTGATTTTCTCCAAATGGTCATCCCATGTAAAGGACACTTTGAATCCCAATCCGCACATTTGTGGTGGTTCTGTTTGCGCTGGTCAGGTCTCCCTGGTGCGTCGCGGCCGCGATGGCCGGCTCAGAAACTCAGACACCCAAGCGACAGGGAACAACTCGTAATTTCATGAGGAAACCAGAAACCCCAAAAAGGGTGGGGCACCCCAACCAAAACACAGACGCGCTTGGCGGGAATTTGGATGGTCCCTCAAGATCGGTTGAAAGAAATCTCTCGAAAGGTCCTTTTCCAAGGGTGTCTAGGGTATTGGAATATTGGCACTTAGTCCAAGTATCTTGTAGCCCACTTGCAACCAACCGAGACGACAATAAAAGGCCGAGCAAACATGGAGGCGACGGTGCTTTGGGCCAGCTCCCAGCTTCAGTGTCTCGAATCCAACTGGAAAGCAAGGCCTCCGATTGAACAGAAAATTATGGTTTGTCTAAGGGAACCGAAGCAAACCACCCATTTGGGGGTTAGTTGGTGTCACACATAAGATCTAGCAGCAGATCTTATTTGTGGACCCCAATGCCCATGTGGACCCTGTAAGGGCAGCCTCACGGGAAAGTGCCAGCCCTGGGAGATTTCTCCTTCCCAGAACTAGCTGCCCTTTTGATTTGTTGTTTTTGTTGGGTCGTTTTCCACTAATCTCAGCATCGCTATCAGAGGCTAGGATGCAGCTCTCTGCAATCCAGACCTTGCTGCAGGTTTGCTCGACCGCAAAGCATATCTTGAGCTACCGCGACGAGGATTGCGACCGAACACATGATTCTTTTCTTGCGTGTGAACACTTCAATCCCAAACTTTTTTTCTTTTGACGGTCATTTCCACCAACTCAACCGTTTCCTTGAGCCTGAGAGATACGCTCCTCGCGCATCCCTCTTTCGCGCCCAGCTGTGTTTGAGTTTCCTGTCAGGGCGATGTTCAAAGGATAGTGGCTCTCTATGCGGCAACAACCCACCCCCCGGCAAAACAGGGCGGTGCGAGGTGCTTCGCTCTCAAGGAGGTGCCTTTGGGATGCCTCGGGGCTGCAGCTCGGATGAAAAATGCGCATCAAGTCAAATGTCTATGAGGTGGAAATAGGGAGCCACCCATTTTGGGAAAGGAGCCTTACTCGGAAACCGACCCAAATCAGCACGTAGTTTGCTGATGCTGAGTCGAGTTGTCCCCCACTTCATGGCTGTTGCTATGGATTTACATGAGCCACCTCTCACAAGTGATGGACAAGTTCTCTCCCACCGAGTTCTGATGTCCAGGGCAGTTTCTTCACAGAAGGCTACGTCCTGGGCCCCGAGTTTTTGCAAAGCGCTCTTGTCATGATTTCACGCGATTTGCCTACTTGGGGTTCCCCCAAGTCGAAAAAGCATCGAGAAATCGAACATGGAACTTTTTTCAACACCCAAATGAAGCCAACAGATCAAGCCAGGAGCTGGGGTCGCGCGATTTTGGGCCGGAAGCCGCGTGTGTTCGAGCAGATGTCATCTTTTTCGGCTGGAACCCCCCTTTAAACCACCTAGTGTAATGTTGAGGATGTCTAAACCGCGCCCGGACCTCGGGTTTGGACTCAGAGATACCACCTATGATCGGCGGATCGGCCCATGGTTTGCGAGAACTTCACCATTCGCGGGCGAAAGTGGGGCTTCCCGATGGATCCCAGTCACCAATCCCTCAGATTGGCCATTTGCGGAAGCGACGTCAGGTTTCGGGTCTTGGGGGTTGCGAAGGTTCCTTAGGGGTCCAAGGCGCATTTCCGGTTGAAAGGTCAACCCAAGAAGCCCATATCCCAATGGTCGTAACATCCCTATACTTTTCACGCAAAGTATTAAACACTCGC